TTGGCTGGCTACCAGATGTCGTTTGACACAGCCAAGTCCAAGCTGACGAGGAGCAACTTCGCTCTAGGCTACAAGACTGGGGACTTCCAGCTCCACACCAATGTGTAAGACACCCTTTCATGCCTTCCACACTAGCTTGGACAAAGTATTACTAAGGAGTATACTTAGTTGCACATTTTGACTGATAATCGATATAATCTTCCCTCAGGGGCACATTGTGTGAACGTACTGTGTCTGCAAAACCCGGATTTTCACGATTTTCGTTGGGTGTTACTTCAACGTTGCATCAGAATTTTGCCCGTTGCAGACTGTATCTTTTCAGACACAACATTTGAAAACTATATACGAAATGTCATCCACAAATACGTGAAAACAACCTTAGACAACGTATTCTGCTGAATTGCATTAAAGGTTTCGCGCAGGTGCAGTACATTTTGCCGACGTGCTTCTCTTAGTATCTATGACCTATCCCTGTTGTCTTGTGCGGCTGTTTGTTATAACATTGTCTGTGGATTACCTCAACTTAAACTCTATTTTACTTCCTCTATGTGTTGTCCTTTCTGTTGTTTGGCTTGACTGAGTTTGAGTTTATCCACACTTAGCGTACATGTACATGACAGTAGCTATTCTTCCTGTGGTCCATTCTAACACACAACACAGGAAAATGTGACTTGACGATTGCATGTTTTTATTTCTCGTTGTGTCTCTTAATTTGTTTGCGTTTCTCATAGTGATGCATACCGGTTCACTGGACTTGGATCCGGACTTGTGATAGTGTTTAGGTTCAAGTCCAAAAAAACCTAAAAGTCAAGAACCGAGTCCGGACTTATTACCATAAAAGACCATTTCACATACCCCTTTTATTTCCAAACCACCTAAAACCTTCCGTAGATTGTGAAATCTTGGCTGCAAAACATTTTTAGAAAACATTGCCATCGGGCATCGTCAAGTATCGGCCTCCATGTTATGTCGCCAAAGTTTCACCCAGACAACATTGAAAGGTTGCCAACATGCAATTTTGTACATGCCATGGGTTTAGGTTCGGACTTACAAGTCCGAAACTGAACCTAAACCTCTGGACTTGAATCCGGACCTGAACCTAAAATTGGGTTTAGGTATGCATCACTAGTTTCTCATGTTGTAAGCTGTGCTGTGCCTTCCAGGTCGTATCAGTCAGTACATATCCTGGCAAAGGCTATGAACCTGAGGTCAGACTGCTAAAGTTTTGTGAGATCGCATATTTGTCAGTTCAAACAAACACTTTCACAATCCATCACTTACAAATGTTTATAAAAGAAAGAAAAAAACACACCACAGACTAGAGTTGTGAGCTGGCTTCAGCACAGAAGCGGCCAGTGTCCTTTTTTTTATCATATCTTTTACAGCCTTTTTGTTGCTTTTTTGCTGGAGATGGGGTACTCACCGTTTTGTACTAACCTGTGTTAAGCTTACTAACATGTCATGAAGGTGTTGACGTGATGTGTTTTTTGTAGAAATAAAAGCTTTTTCCATGAAGCATTATAAGGCATAACTACTAGAAATAACACCAAAGCTGCTTACAAAAGTAGTGGTGTGTCTGACGTGGTGTTTGGTGAAGAAAAGGTCATAGGAAACTACTGTACTAGTGTATTGGGACATTACAAATTTGCAAGATGACTTGGTGAAATGAATTTCTTACGTCTTGAAGGCAAGGTCATTCTCTATATCTTGGTCTTGTCATTTCTTCAGGAAACCTCCCAATCTCTTAGTGCCTCATGCCTAACTACTGAATTTTTTTTTTCATTCTCCGTATGAACGGACTTCTCGCTTCCTTTTGTCTCTTGTAGAATAGTTTTATTTGTCTTGTTTTATTTGTCTGTCTTGTCATCACCCTGATCAAGCTTACCTGACAATATAATTTTGTTGTATCTAACCTTGCTCCCTGTATTGTTCTGATTCACCCCGAGTCAACTGACAATACAAGTTTTACGTCACATTTTTGTTCTGTCTTGTCTCAATGTTTAATCATATTCCCTTTACTTTAAGACATTTCTTGTTGGTTCTATAGTAGCAAAAGTAGTGGACCTGAGGGATTCGTTTCTAACCTTGCTCCCTGTATTCTTCACCCTTAATAAACTGGCAACACTTATCATTTCGTCACAAGTTTTTGTTCTCCTTATTCTGTCTTGTCTCTGTGTTTGATGGCATTCCCTTTAAGACGGTTCTTGTTTTAGTAGTGAAAACAGAAGATCTAAAGGATTTTGTTTGTCTTCCTCCCTGCAGTAACGATGGTACTGAGTTCGGTGGCTCCATCTACCAGAAGGTGAACAACAACCTGGAGACTGGTGTGAACCTGGCCTGGACAGCCGGCAGCAACAACACGCGCTTCGGCCTGGCTGCCAAGTACACCATCGATAGCAAGTCTTCATTCCGGGTGAGTATGGCCTCCTCACAACTCTTTTAAGAAGTGTTCCACTCCCTTATTGGGGAAATGGCAAGCTAACAGTAAAAACAAATGATTTGATAATGGTTAGGATATGTTCAAGGTACAGAAGTGACAAGTGAAAACAGTAAGCATAAAGAGTACAGTGAAAAAAAGTCAGAAATCACAGTGCAAAGTTTGTCTCATGTTATTTTATTGGGAGATGACATTATAGCTATGATACCTTTGTAGGCAATGGAGCATTGTTAAGATGCCTGTGCTCGTACAAACTGCCTATACTGTATGTATTAACATTCGCTCTCTTCTCTTTGCAGGCAAAGGTGAACAACTCCAGCCAAATCGGTCTTGGCTACACGCAAGAAGTCAGGCCAGGTATGGAGCTTTGCATTTTCCTACTTAACATAGCGTAATGTAGGTTAGCAGAATGTTAGGTTCCTGTTGGAAAGAAATTGTTAAATTTGTGTCTTCCAGAAACGTGTGCTGGGGACAAAGGGAGTGCACAGTAGACTGATCCCATAGTCTCATTGCTTAAACCACTAATTAGGTTGAACTACTAATTGTGATGGACTCAGGATTGGTCTATTAAAAGGAAACACGAACACTTGAAGGATTTGTGATGTCATGATCAAAATGAGAGGTGAAATTGTGTTTTGTTATGTCATTATGTACCTGAATATTACTGCTGGTGAAGTAAATAAACTGAAACTGAAGTTTCTTCAAACGTCTGACCGTTGTTTTGTTTCCCTCTCCCACCACAGGTGTGAAGGTGACCCTGTCCACACTGTTAGATGGCAAGAACTTCAACCAAGGAGGCCACAAGCTGGGTCTCGGCTTGGACCTGGAGGCTTAAGACAGGCCCCACGTCTCGGCACCTGCCTGCTGCACACTCAGCACCACCTCAAAACCCTCTCCTCTTCTCTCTTCAGTGTCTCCTCAACACAGGAGCTACCCTGGGATCTGAACCAGTATCACCCGACAATGTAGTGTAGGCAGAAAAGGTGTGGATATCTTGGCAGGATAGAGAACAAAGAATTAGCAGAGCAGGGATACCCCTCCTCCTGTACCCTCTCTATGTACAATTGTGTTCCTTGGAAATGAAACAATTAAAAGAGATAGTATTCAATGATATGATAACTTTGGACTTTGTTTTATGGCGTGAAAGAAATAATACACATATACTGCTGTTTTACCAAAAGGATACTGTTGTGGATAAAAATTCTTCTTTCTATTTAAGTTGTTTGCAGTATTTAAGACCTGGAAACCAAGACTGCTTTTTTGTGACCGACTGTTGTTGTACTGTACTGCCCAAGGGTAAAGATGTAGACGGTAGCCTCCTCTCCAAAATGTTGTAGACTAATTTGGAAATTTGTGGATGAAATAAATTGTAGCATCATCTGTGTAGCTATAAAACGTTGTCCTGTGTGGTTGTCTTTACTGAAAATTAAGTAGGTTTAGAAGATGGCATGGTATATCAGTTGAAGGGAATGTACACTCAACATAAGTATGAATAAACAAGACTGTCAAATATAGGAAAATATTGGCTTAGCTGGGCTAGCTCTCAGCGGTCACTCCATGAAGTGAGAAAAAGTGCTCAGAAAAGGGGTTTGCTCAGAAAAAGTGGTTGCTCAAGGCAAATGGGTTGGTTGTCCATACGATTGGTTCATGCTTGTGGTAAAATAGACCTATGCAAAGTTTAAATCATGGCATGACGAGAAAGGGTTAAATTTACACAATCTATTATCATAGTGAAGATTACTATGTGCATCAGAAAATTTGGTTTCTAATCCTGGTGAATGAATTGAAAGGCCAAGCAACTTTGGTTGTTGAATGTCGAGTTTTAAACAAACACACATTCAACTCAATAAACAGAAAATACACAACATTTGGTATCAAGCATTTATGACATTTCTCTTACACTGCCAATTTGCCAAATGATGACAGCATATTGCATGATACACACCGCTAGAACTCTTGGCATGATTGTCATATTCAGTTTCATATAGATCTTGTGAATTCTATAAATATATGGAGTATCCTTTCCGGAGAAAACAAGTTTTCCGATAGGGTTTAAAATACAGCTATAGATGATAACTCTTCAAACACAACGATAGATATCACATCAAGTCTTTCAATAGTTGGACTTTGGTCATATTTTCATCAAGGCTGTCTATGTACAACTTTACATACTGTCCAGATATGAACATGGAATCCGACATAATCCAGCAAGCTAGTTACGGAATAAAGAAGCGAGGCTTATATATACAACTTTAAGATACTGTCCAGATATGAACGCACTGTTCCCAAATCCAACATCGCACTTACGGAAGCTAGGCTTGTGCTTGTATATTTATGTGAATGTGAATAGAGGTTTTCCTCCGATAGGCGCTAAAATATAGATGATACTTTTCAAATGGCAAGTCTTTCAACAGTTGAACTTTGGTCCCTCTCTTCTTAGAACCATAAAGACACGCTTTGATAACGTTCTCTATGTACAATTAATACACACCGTCCAGGTATGAACGTGGAATTCGCAAATCCAATACAGATTAGCAACACGCAACCTACGGACTAAAAGAAGCTAGGCTTGTGCTTGTGTGAAAATGTTCTGAATTTTCCTGTACATTTTCTTGAGCGCCCGGCGGTAGATGTGGTATCGAAACGCGTACACCAGAGAGTCGGAGAACGTGGCGCTCTGTAGGACGATGGTGGCCACGTCTATCCACGGCGAGGCCGCGGCCAGAGACACCACTCCAAACTTTAGTAGGATGGTGACAACAAACGCTGGTACCCAGGTGATCCAGTTGACCAACACCACGATGAGTAGCGTGTAGACAGCCTGCATCTTTGTGTCCCGGCCCTCCGCCTGAGCGCTCCACGCAAGCTTCTGGTCGTGTTTCCTCTGGCTTCTCTGCGTCTCGCAACAGATGAGCGCGACTAAACATACGATGGCTACCATGGCAACGAGATTGACGCTCACGGAGAGGATGGTGCCTTCAGGGCCGGCCAGACACGGTGTGATGAGCGTCTGTGGCTGCTCAAATCTTCTCAGGACCTCCTCAGAAGCCCCAGCGGTGATGACATGGACGGGGGACACTCCCAGTGCAGCCGGGGCGGCTGCTATCACCACACAGAAACACATGGCGTATACCATCCGCCGGCGCGTTAGCACTTTCTTGTAGCTGAGCGGGTACCTGAAAGTGCAAGAACACAGAAAGCCTTAGCATGAAAGTTCATCTGTGTTGGTATATAACATTATGGATATGGAAACAGTTAAACTTGACACTCTGTCTCACTAGATAAGGTGAAAATCCTGGACACAGAACCGGATTTCTTTGCGAGAGGAGTGAAAGAGGCGGTGTACATTCGGGCCAACCGTCCAACACTGAACAGAGACGGGGGGCGTCATAGGTTATCTGCCACGTATGACCCTCTGCTGCAACCACGTGTTTCCGACGTCACGTCCCGGAAGCTGCAGTAGAAGGGTCCATTCCGTGAACAAGGCTGACGGAGTCAGTCGAAAATTTGGGGTAAGTCCCAATTTACTTGGTGTTGGTTATGTAAAGTTTAACTGTTTCCATAATACAGAAAGCCTTCTTCAACAGAGCTGCCCTAATCTCCAAGCAGATCATACGGTGGCAAGACTACCTATTGGCCAGAGGAGTGTCCATTAGCCACCGTGGCCAATGGATACTGTCTGGCTAATGGATACTGCCAGGCCAATTTGATACTGTCTTTTGCAGCCACCGAAACATCTGATTGGAGATTAGAGCTACCCAATTGTGGAAATCCCTCCTAGTTAATACACGATCAGCCCTCAAGGCACTTTACACGACTTTCCTCACTTCACTCAAGTGAAAATGAGTATTGTCCTGTCTTGTATTTGTCTGCGTTGGTGGCGGCATAACATAAGTTGATATAACTTGAGTGTGCCGTCACCACGTCTAGTCAAGAAATGTTGGGATATAAAAAATATATATTAGGCCATGTTGATTTGATTATATGGATGACATCCTCCGGGAACCCCAAAATTGATGCGCGCGTGCGAATAAAAAAAAGTTTTGCAACAAAAAAAAGTTGTTTTCATTATGAAATCTACGTGGTCATGAGGGTTGAACAAATGGGACAGAATATGGTTTGGCGAATAATCTAGTCTTCAAGTTCATTTCTTTACAATTTCGTCTTTTTTTGTTTGATTTTGGCATTCTACGACATTGGTATGGTTTTATTGTAACTTACGGTATATTTTTGCTCATTTTGCAACTGTTTTGTACGATTTACAGTATGGTTGAAAACTTTTTTTTTGAAACGGCCGAAAATTCATGCGCGCGTGGATGTCATCCATATAATCAAATCAACATGGCCTTACGCGATATGGACGTAGCGGCAGAGCCAGACGCAGAGGAGCGAGTGGAGAGACAGGACGGACAGGAAGATGATGAAGAAGGCCTGTAGCCTGCACCAGGGTCCGGCCGGATAGCTGCCGTGCGCGAGGCTGTACATGGCGAGGGGGTTGTACGCCAGGGCGAGCGCCGTGTCGGTCAGCGCCATGGCTACAAGGTAGTAGTTTCCGGGTTCCTGAAACGACAATATGAAGAATGTGTTTAGAATTAAAACTTTTGATCCAACACGAAAAATTCTCTCACCTAGAGCTTTCGACCAGTCACTCTGCTCTTCCTCAAAGAAGCCACGTGGCAAGCTTCGTGTTGGATCAAAGGTTTTAACTCTAAACATGTAACTGCCAGCACAGATGAACTTTCGTGATAATATGAAGAATGTGTAAAGAAGAGCTTGTCGTATAATTCTAGGTCCCAACTTTGTTAGCTATAGTTTGGCTCTGATGCATTTGTCACTCCCATCTTTAAATAACAGACGACACGAATTATGTTGTAAGTTTGCTGCCTCCTTGTTGAGCTCCGCACCCATTTCTCAAAATGGTTGCCGCCGCTAAACCGTGCAGACAGTTTCAAATTTGAGTGATTGAAATCATCAAGATTTCCAAAAATAATGCCATCTGCCTCGTTAGACATAGGATATTTATTTGTATTGTGGGTTTCTTTTTACACCACAGGTATAGACCCTCACCTGCTTGCATATGCCTACGTTTTGATTCCTGTCAGACACCTTCCACGGTAGTTCAGGACTACTGCTTCTTGCCATTGTACTAGTATATAGCCAATGTAGGTGGCGCTTTTGCGGCGAGAAGCAGTACTCCAGTCAGAAGCTCTGAGGAAGGTGTCTGATAGACATCGAAACGTGGCGACAGCAAGGCGACAGAGATATATATAGACCGATCCGGATTAGTCTATTGTGTAATATCCGTGTTATCATGCATGAGGCGTAGAATTCCGCAGAAAAGGTATCAAGAATTGGCTAGATAAATGCGCATTTCAACTAGAAATATTCCCCTCATGATCAAACAACGTAGATTACATACATGAAAACTGTTACTCGAGCAACTGGATAGATAATATCAGACGTTTCAAGTAGCATTGACTAAATTTGCGTCAGTGACGAATGAAATCTGTAGTCTAGTCACATCAGTTCTTGAGAAGAATATGAGACTTTGAGTTCAGCACTAAGGACAGGACCCGTATATAATATACGCATCTTACACCAAATCCCAAAATTCCAAACCATTCCCCATTCACTTCATTGTTAGTGAGATCGGCTTTCTGCACCGTGCACCTATCGTATAAGGCGTTAGTTCTCGGTTGTCAATTGTAGATTTTTTAACGGAACGGATCTTACTTTCATGTGACTGTGAGTTCAGACTAAGGACAGGACCTGTATATAACATACGCATTTTACACCAGTTATTTGGGTTGAATCCTGCATTATTACACAATGTACGGATTTAGGTCTACGTTGTCAATTGCATATTTTTAAGGGAACGGATCTTACTTTGATGTGGCTGTGAATTCAGCACTAAGGACAGGACCTGTATATAACATTTATACCGGTTATTTGACCTGGATCCTGTATTATTACAAAATATATACCGTTCGTTCTCGGTTGTCAATTGTAGATATTTTCAACGGAACGGATGTTACTTTCATGTGGCTGTGAATTCTGCACTAAGGACAGGACCCGTATATAAAATTTTACTCCAGTTAGTTGAGCTGGATCCTGTATTATTACACAATATATGGCGTTAGTTCTCAGTTGTCAATTGTAGATTTTTTAACGGAACGGATCTTACTTTCATGTGGCTGGTGGTTAGGATGACTCCCACCAGGCACCCGTTGCCGAACACCGTTAGTAGAAGGAAGCAGACCAGCAGCAAAATCAGCACGGGCGCGATGGAAGGCGCAGCGCCGTACAGACCACAGAAGGCCGGCTCGAACACCACGCTTGCCAAGGTGGCGTTGTTGTTGTTGCCCGTAGTCGCATTGCCGACGACTTCGCAGACGCCGACCACCTCAGAGACATCCTTCAGAGCTCCAGCGATATGGACCGTCACGTTTCGGTGGTTCATCTCTATGTAATGTCCTTGGTCTGTTTCTTTACAAGAGCTGTAGCTCGTAGACTTCGTGCCAAGGCATATAAACCACTACCTGTTGCTGTAAAAGACGGGCGATCTGCTAGCTTGACAGAAAGGCCACAGCAAGTGCATTTTATGGATGACATCCTCCGCAGACTACAAATCTAATGCGATAGGGCTAAAATAAACAAGACCGGCCAAAAAACAAGATTAATTTTCAAATTTTGAGGTCATAAGCCTAGTTATACAAGAATCGAGGTGACGAAACATGATATTACAACCAAACGAATCTTTTATTCTTGTATTCAACAGTATTCAATTACCTGCAGCTGTCCTTGTAGATGTGTAAATGCCTCAATTAACTAGATACTCGTATTCTAGCAAAACGGCTAGCCGTACCATCATGGGGAGGCTACTATACTGGGTTGGATTGGATTGGATGCGATGGAACATGTCAGTGTCAACGTTTGCGATCAAACGCGAACCATTGTGTCTCAAGTTTGCTGGATCCCTGACGGTCTCAGAACCAATAGGCATTTACAATTAAACAGATTTGCCCTTTTTCTAGCCTGGTTACCAAACCTATTATAGCTCCCGATCCCCCAGTCCTACATCCTCTCCGCAAATAGATCCTATTTGCGGAGAGGATGTAGGACTCGGGAGCTATAATAGCTTTGGTAACCAGTCTACCCTTTTTCAGCATGTTTACCACCGTCTGAAGTCAAAACAATTTCTTACATCAGTGAAGGTTAGACATCCAGATAATTAATAAGATACACCAAAAAGAAAATTAATGCGCGCGTCGATGTCATCCATAAAAATTACTTGCTGTGGCCTAATGAAAAACAACGAATTCATTCCACGTGCGCGTCACGTCGTGGTTTGGGATTATGCACTATAAACCAGACACGGGGGATGTTATTCAAGATTCAGCGTCTTTAAGTGTCAGAGTGGGGCAATTAAGAACCTGTCGTCGGCACTCTCAGTTAGGAGATGGAATTTTACAATGGAATACAAATGATGATATAACTCATGTACGTATTCATTGTCACAACCAATAACGTTAACCGCGCCAACTTAGCAATGCTGGTGTGTTACGCCTAAGGGTGATTATACCAGTTGTACAGAAGCTGGTGTGTTACGCCGAAGGGCGGTTATACTGGCTACACAGATACAGATACAGATACAGAAGCTGGTGTGTTACGCTGAAGGGCAGTTGTACTGGCTGTACAGATACAGGTACAGAAGCTGGTGTGTTACGCCGAAGGTCGGCTATACCGGCTATACAGATACAGATACAGGTACAAGAGCTGGTCTGTTGCGCCGAAGGGTGGTTATACCAGCTGTACAGAAGTTGGTGTGTTACGCCGAAGGATAGTTCAATGATACCGGCTATACAGAAACACCTCAGGTCATGTTGAAGATAAAAATGCTAACCAAATAACAGCCGTTTTTTTTTAGTTAAAATCCATACTCCTTTTCACAGTTCCCAAGTCATACCAATGAAATTTAACGAGCACTCTTTTTTATAGTCGACTCAACAGTAATTCTTGACTAATGCAGGGATTTATGAATTCAGAATCTGGCTTGGAGCAGAGACAAGCGGTGAATAGAGAAATACGGAGTTGATTACATAGGATGATAAGTGCAGAGTGCAGATTGCTAGATATATTCAAGGAGGTTTAAAATCATTTTCGACATCCTTGATACATTTGAGTCCGCCACCAAAATCCTTGGCAGGGCGGGGCTGTACCAAATCCACATAAACTCGCTCCGCCCATCTTAACTACGTGGCAACACTAGAGAAAATACAGATGTCAATTGTAGTTAAGATGACTTGCAGCAGCTTGCCAATTGCAACTGTCAGCAGCCGACTGTGATAAAATATAGACGTAGCCTCAGGTCACTTGCGCTGACGAAAGCTTTTAAGTCCAAGAAATTGAAGCTCCTTCATGTTCTATGACGCTGCTTGTCGCCCTTGGATGGTACCTTCACACAGTAGGAAAACCGTTCAGCTAACAAGTGTGCGAGTCGTAAATGACAATTTCGGCAGTTACACCCAGTGTGTTTTGGACTATCTCCAAGTAGATCTTTGGGGGGCTGCAATACAGTGTCGATTTGGCCGGCAAGTGTATGAAATTGGCCAGGCAGTATGTAATACAGCACCCCGGCGTGGGGTGACCAATGGTTATAGGCGGCCAATGGTTACAGGAGGCAAATGGTTTAACACTACAGGCGGTCTAGGTTAAGGTCATTATATGTCTGTTAATTTTCAGGCTCAAGAGAGGTGAGTCCTTAAGTAATAAGTTAGCACAAGCTTGTTTAGAGTTAAAACTTTTGGTCCAACACAAACAAAATTCTCTCACCTATATAGCTAGAGCTTTCGACCAGTCACTCTGGTCTTCCTCAGTAGACTGACCCAGTAAGTGTCACGTGTCATTGTGTATCTTATTGATTGTATTTGTATGTGTACCTAACGATTGTTTTCTCTCCTAGGGTTGACCCTTAACAATAGCCTACGGCTAGTTGGGCATCCCTGCCTGTTATAAGCCGATCTAATAACTAGAACTTCAAAAATTGGAAAATTTGTTTCATTCGTGCTCTGCGAATAATCAATTCAATACCAGTATGCCTCTTAAGCTCTCTTCAGAAAGATTTGTGCGCAAAGACGTTGAAAAAAGCTTTACACTTATCTTGCTCATTCCTTGACAAAGACTGCAGTTGCACAGTCGAAAATGTGGGTAAGTCCAAATATCCTGTGTGGGAAATTACAGTTTAAACTTCTTCATGAAGTATATGCTTCACAGTATGCCACATAAGCTCTCTTAAGAAAGCTTTATTTGCGCAAAAGGATGTTGAAAAAAAGCCTTTACACTTATCTTATTCATTCCTTGACAACATGAGACTGCAAAGTTGTTGCACAGTGAAAAATTGGGCAAGTCCAAATATCCTGTGTTGGAAATTACAGTTTATACTTCTTCATAAAGTATATGCTTCATAGTATACAACTTAGAGTGCATTAACAAAAGCTTTTACACTTATCTTGTTCATTCCTTGACAAAGACTGGAGATGCACAGTCGAAAATTTGGGTAAATCCAAATCTCTTGTGTTGGAAATTACAGTTTAAACTTATTCTTAAAGTATATGCTTCGTAGTATACCATTTAGACTCACTTATGAACGCTTTTGCGCGCAAGGAAATTAAAAAAAAATCTTTTAAACTTATCTTGTTCATCCCTTGACAAAGACTGCAAAGATGTTGCACAGTGAAAAATTGGGTAAGTCCAAAACTCCTGTGTTGGAAATTACAGTCTAAACTGCTTCATAAAGTATATGCTTCATAGTGTACAACTTAAATTCACTTAAGAAAGCTTTTGCGCGCAAAGGCATTAACAAAAACATTTTATACTAAATCTTGTTCATTCCTTGACAAAGGCTGAAGTTGCACATAGAAAATTTGGGTAAGCCCAAATCTCCTGTGCTGGAAATTACAGTTTATACTGCTTCTTGAAGCTTTCATACTTGTGCTGCTCGGCTCAGAACATGCTGAGTTCAAGCGTAAGACAGTAAGATGACTTGAATGGAAAGTTTGGAGCCGCTAGACTGAATGTCTGATTATGGAGACAGAGAAAAACTTCTCTAGCAGATGTCACAGGAGGCCAAATAGTTACACTACAGGAGGCCAATTTAGATACATGCAACAGAATCTGCTTGGAGAGTAGTTTATTGTTCACACAGTATAACATGGAACAACACAAAGTGGTAGCGCACTCAAGTATCTAATACTAATTTCAACGTTACCACTTACACATAATACATTAGCAAAAGAATCCAATATGTAGAAAATGCGGATGATAATACTGTATATATTTG